TTCTTCTTCTACCTCTTCTCAGTCCACCATCTCCCTCTCACCCTCTCGCTACCTGACTTCACTGCATCCGCAGACTACGAGAGAGTGGGCTTGGTGACATTTGGACCCAGAGTCGACATTGGGCTTCAGACATTTGACGAGGGATTATTTGGGACTTGTAACGAAGACTTGGTGTTGACGACATTCCCATCTCCCCCCTTCTTCCTCGTCTGATCCCCTCCTCTTCGTCTGTGTATGGTCTGGACCTGGCACATTCTTCCTGTGTGTAGCGCCAGGCCCCTTCACACCTTGCGATGAGGATGATGTATGTTTGGTCCGTATTGCGACATTGATTGGGCTAGTCATTGGTATTCTAGCATTCTGCCGCGCTGTCTTATACTACGTGAGAGAGGTCATCCTTGGTCAGGTCAGGGCTTATATCTAAGTCTTCCTTTTTTTTTTTTTTTTTTTTTTTTTATGGGAACAAGGCTCCAATCTATTCGTGGGGAGCAGCACGTGCTGGGAACCGGGCCCAGCGTCCCATATAGAAATTTACATATAATTTTGAAGATTGAGATACCGGGAATCCACTGCACCACAAGGTGCCATTTTTGCATGTATCAAGATGTACACTGCTTGTTGAGATTCTACTAGCACTGCATTGTCTATTCAGTCCTTTTTACCACATTGCGGATCCTTGCCTATATATGCACATCGCCCAACTGGGCATGTAACACCTAGTGTTAACCATATTAGGGGATTTTGGTATAGAGCAGTAATTTCGTCGAAACCCGACATTTTTTATGGTTTGAACGAGAGGGAATGCTGTTTCAATTTTGGCTCTGCTCATCTAAGTATGCTTTACAATGTTACTGATGCTTACTATAGAGGTGAAGCTGTTTCAATATTGGGTCTGCTGATCTGGGTGGGAAAAAGGGGCTATTGTGCTGACAATTCACACGCACGTGCGCACACACACGCACACACGCACACACACACACACACACACACAGACACACACACACACACACAACCTTCTGATGAGTCGGTGAAAGTCCGACGAAACACTCTGGTACAGTCATGCTTTTTTTGAGTGTATAGCGAATATGACAACACACATACTGTGACACACACA